ATATATAGAAGAAGAAGGCGAGTGAGTGTGAGATACTTGAGTTTATGCATTGGACACTTAATTGGTGATTAGACGTTAAAATAGCTAGACGTTACGGAAATGCTTTGTCAGTTTATGAGTAGTGGACGTGAAAACAGAGGTGGAGGCAGCTAAAAGTATTTTCATCCTAAGTCAGTCAAAGAAGATCCGACTGTTTATAGTTCATATATATGTATATGTTCCCCTCGCTTTTTATCTATTTATAATTTTTTTTTTAAACTGTATTACTAAAGTCATGGTCTGCAATTGGTTCTTAATAATAAAATATAATTAACAAGAAAACAAAAGAAACAATGTTGAGATTTTTTTTTTTTTTTGAAACAAAAGAGTGTTGTGATTTGTTGGATTGTTCTTGGTGTATGATATCAATTGATGTATACTAATTACGTTATTTGATTCCAGGTTACGTATCTTTTTAATGGATATTAATGGGGTTTTTTTTCCTTGAGTATCTGATTAATTCTAATATGGGTTATGCTGTTACTTGAGTAAGATGTATTTACTCTGTTTTGTCTTAATATATATGTTTGGAATGTTGTTACCACGGAGCGGCCATTTTTAGTTTGACTAGTAGTTCAAGGAAAAACTCTGAAAAATATCTCAATTAAATTATTTCTTTCAGAAAAATACACGAATTTTTATGATTTTTCAAAAAATATCTCAATTAAATAAAATTGTTTGTTTAATACACATAGTTTCAAATTGAAGGTTTTACACTTTCAGATTAATGAAAGGTTAATATATGTTAATGGAACATAAACGCTGTTAGTTTAATTAAGCAAAAAATCCTGCAAAATACTCCAATTAAAGTGATCCTGATAGAAAAATACTCCAATTAAGCAAAACGTTGTTTTTGTGTTCGATTAGGGTCAGTTAGTCGATCTAGATTCGATTTTGAAGTTTGTTTTTAGGTCAAATAGTCGATTCATATGCCTAATTTGAGTATTTTGTTTGAATTCGATTTTGAAGTTTCTTTCTTGGTCAGATTGTCGATTTATATGCATTATTTAAGTTTGATTTGTATGCAATGATTCACAAACTATAAAACTGAAAGTGCAATATGGAAGATTAATAGAATATAGGGATAACAACTTTAGTTATAATGGAGGATCCGTAAAGGAAGACATTTTCATTGATTCTGATTATATTATGTGGTCATGTTTTGATACGCTTTGTGATGATAATGCAACAAGCTACAATTGATGATGGTAAAAATAATAAACATGGCAACATTGGATTATGAAAATGTTAGAGACTTAATGATGACGAGGATGGTAATTCGAAAATGTAAAATCAAAATTTGAAATTTTATGTATTAAACGGACAAATTTATTTAGTTGAGATATTTTGTGAGGAATCATAAAAGTCATGTATTTTTTGCAGAAATATTTGATTGAGATATTTTCATGTTTTTCCCTTACTTAAAGTAACAACGTTTATGTTATGTTATTAACTATTAACCTTCCGTTAATAAGAAAGTGTAAAACTTTCAAATTTTGAAACTCTGTATATTAAACAGTCAATTTAATTTAGTTGAGGTATTTTTTGGAAAATCACAAAAATATATGTATTTTTTTGTAAAAATAATTTAGTTGAAATATTTTTCAGGGTTTTTTTGAAAAAACTAATATATCTAGCAGAAGTAAATCACATATATTATTAATATTTGAAAGTTATCTACATTATTGCGTCAAACAGTCGTATGCATGTTCTGAGA